CAAAGAGACAGAACACAGCTGCAAAGAGACAGAACACAGCTGCAGAGAGACAGAACACAGCTGCAAAGAGACAGAACACAGCTGCAAAGAGACAGAACACAGCTTCAAAGAGACAGAACACAGCTGCAGAGAGACAGAACACAGCTTCAAAGAGACAGAACACAGCTGCAAAGTGACAGAACACAGCTGCAAAGAGACAGAACACAGCTGCAGAGAGACAGAACACAGCTGCAAAGAGACAGAACACAGCTGCAAAGAGACAGAACACAGCTGCAAAGAGACAGAACACAGCTGCAGAGAGACAGAACACAGCTGCAAAGAGACAGAACACAGCTGCAGAGAGACAGAACACAGCTGCAGAGAGACAGAACACAGCTGCAGAGAGACAGAACACAGCTGCACAGAGACAGAACACAGCTGCAGAGAGACAGAACACAGCTGCAGAGAGACAGAACACAGCTGCAAAGAGACAGAACACAGCTGCAAAGAGACAGAACACAGCTGCAAAGAGACAGAACACAATAAACCAAGAAACAGATAGAACAGCTTCTTTTCTTTTCCAAAGAACAAAGCTGATACTTCAGTTTCGTGAGGCACGTGTCACCTCCCCGTCAACGTGTCTGAGTGCTTTGGGAAACTCCTCAAGGTCCAGTGATGAGGAGAATAAAGCTCGTTCATGTTCAGGAGTGGAGCGTCAGATTTAAAACCCTCCGGAGGAAACTGATCTGAGATCCTGTGGAGAAGCAGGACGTTATTTCATTATTCTGAGGAGACAGATTTAATAAGGCAGAAGCGCTGCAGGCCTCCTCTTCTTCTTCTGTGGTGCCGGATCAGCCTCAGTGGACGTCCACACCAGGAGGAGGAGGAGAAGAAGAAGAAGAAGAAGAAGAAGAAGAAGAAGAAGAAGAAGAAGAAGAAGAAGAAGAAGAAGAAGAAGAAGAGAGGGATCGCTCCTCAGGTCGGACAGGAAATGAGAACATGAGTGACAGCGGCCCCGGGCTGCACTCATATGGTAACACCCGCCCAAAAAGTACTCCAAGAACTTTACAAGTCTAATTATAGTCGCTATGCTTCAAGGATTTAGACAACAACAACAACAACAACAACAACAACAACAACTTGGTAGCTTTATTATCTAGTCTCGACTTTATGGAGGGTTGAGACTCGGAGTCCTCTTGACATTTCAGAACTTCTTTAACTTGGACTAGTTTCATTGTCGTAGAAGTTGGAACTGAACCAGTCTCTTACGTGGTTTTGACTCGGACTAGAGACTCGGACTAGAGACTCGGACTAGAGACTCGGACTAGAGACTCGGACTAGAGACTCGGACTAGAGACTCGGACTAGAGACTCGGACTAGAGACTCGGACTAGTCTCTGTTTTACGGGGGTTTTGACTCAGACTCGTCTCAATATTACAGGTTTGTTGTCTCAGTGTCATAGATATTTGGACTGGGACTTGTCTTCACCTCACTGTGTCCTGACTCGTGTTCTTACAGGGTTTGGAACCAGATTTTCTCGACTTGACGAGGCTTTTAACTCGGACACCAAGACTCAAAGATGTTTTGACTAGGATCCCCTGGACAGAGAATGGACCCTTTGCTGATGTTGAAGACATGTCCAGAAGGCCATGGGACATGTCCAGAAGGCCTTGGGGACGAGTCCAGAAAGCTTTGGGACATGTCTTAACCCTCCAGGTGTCCTGTATAAAACTCCCCCACTACTTGGACTATTCCTTGCACCCCTCTAGAATAAGCCCGAATGGTCTCAACCATATTGCATCAGTAACGTGCACTTGTTATTATAACAAGATCGCAAGGACGCTGGTAGCGATCGGGAAATTGAATGTTGTTCAGTTTGTGTGTTGTGGAACATGCGTGTCCGTGCATGAAAATATACCACACACCCTTTACAATTGCATGTTCAATTCACTACCCTGGAAGTTCATACAGTTGTTAAAGTTGGAACAGCCTGTGGACAGCCGTTCTTCCTTGCATGTCAGTCGCCGACACCTTCTTACAGAGGACAGGCACATCTAGCTGCAGCACGACCCGTATATTTCCGCACGCCGTGTTCTCAAGATATATTTTTTTTAACATTTTCAACATGGTGGATAAATCCTTATATGCTCCCGGTAACACACTGAACGTCAACTTTGCCTCCTTATTACACTCACCCCTACTTTAGTGGGAACAATGAGTCTGCGTCTTTGATGCACACAGGAATAACGCAGATCATCCTCTGGCTGCAGCCTTTACCGGTACTTGCTTTTGATCAAAGTCAATGCGGAAAACCTGCACTCACACAGGTAGGTGGAGGTGAAGGGAATGAGCACTCACACAGGTTTTTGGAGGTGGGGGAACTCGGTCTCCACAGACAGCCACAAGTGGGCAAGTGTCACTTTACTCGTCTTTTTCTCGTTCTTTTGTGTCTCACGCTGCGCCTCCCCTGAAGCTCTCTGGCGCCCCCTAGGGGAGGCGCGCCTCACACTTTGAAAACCGCTGATATCCATTCTGCCCAACTAGGACGACCGAATTTGACAGTAAACAACTGCGGAAACAATAACGGGTCCCAATGTGGATAGANTTTTTCTTTGGACGGACAAAATAATTTACATTTATTTTACTGTGTTCAATCTGAATTTACTTTAAAATAAAAACATCTATATTGATTCTGACACTTCCACATCCAACTCACAGGTGTAACCTTGCTTTGAGAAAAAGATTATTAATTTAACCCTTTTAGAAGGGAAGATATGGTCATTTGTTCTGGGCATGTCATTTTTGAGCCTGAGACCTGAAAAACAGGCTCGGGGCTTAACAGGTTGATATCATTTATTTAACATCTTATAAAAGCTCTAAATAGCTTTGCTTGCAGTGGACATTTTATCAACTTTTAGGCCTAAACTGAAAACTTGATTTGTATTTACTATATTACTGCCTAGATATGTTCATCTATGACACTTCAGCTAATTATACAAGAGTCTGTTGTCGTCAGGCGGGAAGAAACAGACAACATTTGGGCCTGCCACTATAAAACTGATCATAACCTGGTCATCATGAATGTAAACCGCTGCTTGACGCCTCTGTGGTGTGTTCAGGTGCTGTTCTGCTACGAGCAGTTTGACGAGCTGACCCTGCTCCACCTGCGGGATTTCGACAAGAAGAAGGTGATCTCCGTGGAGACGGACATTGTGGTGGATCACTACAAAGAGGAGAAGTTTGAAGACGTGAAGCCAGGTCCGCCCTCCCCCTCTCCCTCTCGTGTCTCTAGAACAGCTGTCTCACTCACGGCTGCAGTCCTGACTCCTGTTGGTTCTCTCTCCTACAGCCTCTGAGCGCCTGACCCAGGATCAGTCCGAAGACCTCATCTCCTGGATGAAGAACGCTTTGGGCCCCCGAGTCACCAACATAAAGGTGAAGATAAGACTAGAGTCTGTCCAGGCCTCAAATGTGTTGAATTCAAATCATTGTGCCATTGTTTTCTCAAGTCAGATAAGGTCACATTGCATGGTACATTTTCTCTTCGGCCCATAGCTGACCCCCCGGCTGGACACCCACCCAGCGATGATCACGGTGCTGGAGATGGGGGCTGCTCGCCACTTCCTCCGCACCCAGCAGCTGGCTCGCACCCCTGAGGAGAGAGCGCAGATTCTGCAGCCCACACTGGAGATCAATGCAGGGTGAGAGAGGGAGGGGAAGTAATGGTGGCATGGATTTGACTGAATGGAATAAATGGTGTGTTTTGGTCCAGCTCTCACTATCTTGTTCTTCTTACCCTCTGACAGACATGATTTGATCAAGAAGCTGCAGGCACTGAAGGAGAGCAACTCTGAGCTGGCTGGACTGCTCCTGGAACAGGTACTGTGGCTTAAAGATGCATGTGGGAAACATGTCTTAATATATATAGTTTGCTGTTTATGCAAACTCAAAACGTCCTCTGTGTTATTATGGTTTTATGTAGAGTACAGGATGTTATACAATTCCATAGCACAAATTGTGTCTTACAGTTTGTCTTCTAAAGGACATACTATCAATAAACTCTTCCTGCACAGATGAGGCACATTTGAAGCCTGACTTTAAAAACATCTGCTGGAAATGTTTAGTTAATGACAATAGCTTAAAAGGTATAACATGAAACCACAAGCTGGCAGCAATGCTGGTGAACACGCCATGTTCCCAAGCTGCCTCGCAAAACTCTTGTTTTTGTAATGTTGACTGAGAGGCCCCCAGTGGCAAAAAGATCACCCATAGTGCTTTTACTAGAACAAACCATGAATGAGTTTTCATGTTAAAAGCAGCAACATAGTGAGTTTAATATGACTGTTGATGGAAATGCACATTATGCTGAATTGACTGTTTAAGGTGTTGGAATACAGGTGTTTGCAGCTATCACTATTGTTTTTTTTATTTTGTGACTGTCATTGCTAGCTTGTATTTTGTGGTATTTATGCCCACATGGTTGTTTTCAGATGAAACCATTTTCGGAAAATATGATTTATACTAGGAAACATTTTTCACAATTACAAACTATAGCAGAATGCAACACTTTGAAGTCTTATCAGTGCAGTTTTACATCTCTTTATCTACATTCTGCAGATCTATGACAATGCTATGATCACAGCCGGCCTGAACGACGACCCCCGACCGATGATTTCTCGCCTTAACGACCTGCTGACTAAAGCTCTGGAGAAGCACTGAGAGACAGACACTACAGTGCAGACTGACTGGGTGTTAAGCCTCTGAAGGGCGTACAAAGCTGGATGACTGCAGAAGAGAACCAACAGGACTGTGTTCGTCTGGAGCCTTAAAACCACATCTCTCTAGACTACTTAATTGAACCCTTATGGAGAGCACACAAAGGCTTTAAAGAGCAGCTGTTGTGAAGATGAACTGAAGGAAGCTTCTCTGTAAATCCCTGTGTGCAGCACTGTTTCATCAGGAGAATGGAGGCAACTCTCATTTCTAGATTCTCATTTCAAAATCCTTGTGAAATACCATGTGTAAAAAATAAAGTGTGCATTAAAGCTTTGAAGTGGTAGGAGACTATTCATGGCTTCATTACAAATGCAAGACATTATTATTGCTAAGTGGAGCAGATCATGTTAAACTTAGCTTTCTTTTTTATAAACCCTCATTGTTTGTTGTCCTTTTTCTGTTAATGTTATGTTCGCTTTGTGGTTTATAAAATGTTAAATACCTGAATGTGGCAATATTTAATGTAATTAAATATTTTTGAACTGGGTCAAACTAGAGTGTTTGTTGATGGTGTGTGAGCTGCAGATGTGACTTGTCAGGTCAAACATTGATTCTCAACAGGTTTCATTGATATTAAGGTATCATTAAATCTAATAAAAAAAGATTTACCCTGAGCATTTATGGAGCTGTTGACACTTTCCTCTGTTCGTAACCAATGTGACAAATGCATTCAAAGATTCCAAATACAGGACTACTTGAAAATACAACTTTACTGCATTTCAAACTAACATGACATATGAAAGATGAGAGGAACCTCAACTTCAAGATGTCCTCCTCCAGTCTTCAGTCTGTCGCAGACTGTACATTTGGAGACAGATGGATTGTAGGTAAAAGGCAAAAGTTCAAGAGAAGGGATTCTCTGTGGTGTCTTTGCAAGCGTCCCAGCGCTTTCAATCCATTTAAACCACTTCAGGGCATTTTGACCCGTCCCATCTGCCCAGGCGTCCTCTCTGTGAGTCGTCCTGCTTCAGGTCTCACCTCCTGACTCCTGACCGTCAGTCAAGATCAACAAATCCCAGAAGAGTGTCAGGAGAGCTTGTCTATATTAGCGAGGAAACGCTGGGCCCACCATTCATCCAGATCTAAAGGCACGAAATCTGGAGAACAAAAACATAAAACTGGTTAAAAGTCTGTTGGCAAAAAAGGTAATTACACCCTAAAACATCACCAGAAGGATTGTTGTCATCTCAATTACACATTTAAATCAGTCGAGTACAAATTAATACTATACTTCTGCTCATTTATCTTATTTTCTATACTTATTCTATTATCCTAGCACAAATAACTTCCACATTTACAAAAAGCTTAATCAGGAGTCATTATAGTGTAGAAATAAAGGAGACATGACATGAGTTTATTTGACAGTTCTTTTTGAAATGCCATTATAATTTCTCTTCTGACTTGACGCTAGTTAGAGTTGCGCCCTCCAGTGGTTAAAGTGATATATGCATCACTATGTTAAATTCATGGCTAAGAAACTGGTTATAAATATATATATATTTTTTTTTTATCTTAGTCTATTTTATATTACGTTTCTAAAACTCATTAGCTTAAACACCCATTATAACAGTTTTAGTCAAATACATCTTGGTGATAGATCACAGGGTGTTTCTCAATGTCAAGGAAGGATACTCCAGAGACTATTTCAAGGATGCTCCGTCATCGAGTCCCGCCGAAGGACTGTTCCAATGTCCAGGCTCCTTGGAATTCTACCGAGGCCGGCGTCCTTCGTAGCGAGAAATTCGAGGCTGCACATGTGTATCCTCCGCGGTCTTAAAATCCCCACAATGCTTTGCGCACGGACCAATTTCCCCAAATCTGTGGCGGAAAATGTAAGGCAGGGCCTCTATATGACGCACACCTGCACACTTGCTCGCCTGTTCCACTCTTCCTTTTCCGAATACCAGGAAGGATTCTTGCCTAACTTCCGAAGGAAGTGACTCGGAAGACATGTCCTACCAAGGAAGCGTCCTCGATATTGAGAAACACCCGCTGTAGCCTACCTGCCATCTTTAAGGGCGTTTTCTTATGACATGCCATTTTCTAAAGCAGGGGTTTTCAAAGTGTGGGTAGGTGAGCCTCCCCTCAGAGAACTAAGAACAGCCGCGCCCCCCTCCCAATTATTATTGCTGTATTATTATTATTATTGTTGTTGTTGCTATAATGCAGGGGTATTCAATTGCATTTCAAAGAGGTCCAGTAAGAGAAAATGTAATTAAATGCTCTGTTTTCGCTGTCTACCTTCCGCCATTTGAAATTACTCCGACTGTTTCTCTCCTCTTGTCTCGTCTCTGTGTGTGTGTGTTTGAATCTATCGTGCTGACTGCACCGATTTGATTGGCTGAGTAGCGTCACCTCCTTAAAACATTAAACAATAACTTTTTTAAACCTTTTTATTTTTATGTTTTAAACATATTGTATAAAACTCCCCCACTACTTGGACTATTCCTTGCACCCCTCTAGAATAAGCCCGAATGGTCTCAACCATATTGCATCAGTAACGTGCACTTGTTATTATAACAAGATCGCAAGGACGCTGGTAGCGATCGGAAAATTGAGTGTTGTTCAGTTTGTGTGTTGTGGAACATGCGTGTCCGTGCATGAAAATATACCACACACCCAATTACAATTGCATGTTCAATTCACTACCCTGGAAGTTAATACAGTTGTTAAAGTTGGAACAGCCTGTGGACAGCCGTTCTTCCTTGCATGTCAGTCGCCGACACCTTCTTACAGAGGACAGGCACATCTAGCTGCAGCACGACCCGTATATTTCCGCACGCCGTGTCCTCAAGACATTTTTTTTTTAACATTTTCAACATGGTGGATAAATCCTTATATGCTCCCGGTAACACACTGAACGTCAACTTTGCCTCCTTATTACACTCACCCCTACTTTAGTGGGAACAATGAGTCTGCGTCTTTGATGCACAGAGGAATAAACGCAGATCATCCTCTGGCTGCAGCCTTGACCGGTACTTGCTTTTGATCAAAGTCAATGCGGAAAAGCTGCACTCACACAGGTAGGTGGAGGTGAAGGGAATGAGCACTTTTACAGCCTTTTTGGCGAGGTGGGGGAACTCGGTCTCCACAGACAGCCACAAGTGGGCAAGTGTCACTTTACTCGTCTTTTTCTCGTTCTTTTGTGTCTCACGCTGCGCCTGCCCTGAAGCTCTCTGGCACCCCCCAGGGGAGGCGCGCCTCACACTTTGAAAACCGCTGTTCTAAAGCATAATATACCATGACTTGTTATGGTAAACTAGAGTTTACATTTTTAACTTTAATGCTTTTTATAAATATTATAATTACATTTTGTATATACTTGAGGGATAAACCATTTGTTGTACTTAATAATTGTTTTTTATTTCCATGACATAAATCTTATGTGTTTTTGATGTCATACAGTAAAAGTTAATAATTTCTTATGATATGCTATACTTCAATTCTTCATGACATACCGTGACTTTTTATGGAATACTTTACTTTTTGGTTTTTCTGACAAACTATATAGATCTTGGTGTTTGACCAACAAACAATGACATTCCTGCACAAGAAATACATCCTTGGTTGGCTGGCTGTCCCAAATACTATGTATATGTCCTGTAGGCTGTTATTGTAAAATATTAAGAATACTACTTCAAACAAACATCCTCCAAACACCTGTGCTACACATCCCGTAAACGTTGATGCTTATACATGAACATATTTGTTCATGAAAATCGTGCTTAATTCAGCTTTAACCAGTCAAATGTAAATGGATTCCCTGAAGGCATGAGCAGGAGAGGATGGCTTAGTTTGGATGACAGTGAGGAAGAGGAGCAGCTGTACTCACTTTTCACGTGTGGACTGGGACTGGTCTCTTTATAGTGGACTGCTGCCTGGGCCTCCTCTGGATCCTGCTGCACCACCTCCTGCCAGGCTGAAAACACAACCACTCAGTCAGTACAATAACAAATAAAAGATATGGAATACAATTAAAATAAAAACCTTTATTATCATTGCACAGAATTCAAAGATGGCGCGCTACTCCTGCAATTAAAAGTCACAGGAAAATCACAAAAACCAAACAACTGGAGCTCTACTATAGTAAGTACAAACAAAATACATGTAATGTTCACTGTTATAAGAGTCTTTGTTCCACTAGAATAAAGATAAGCATTGCATTCAGATTATTGTAATTATTACACTGGTATGAATGTAATTTCTTCCCTAGAATAAATGTGATTATTGGATAAAATCCATTAGGTATGCAATCAATAAAAAAGCAGTCATTATTGCAACTGATTCAATGCAAAATGTACAACTAATGCAATATGTTGAGGTAACATGCATACCATGTAATCATTAACTAGGTAATTCATTAATCACAAGTCATTTGGTAAAGCAGATTAAAAGATATCTTATCATTATCAAAGCAAAAATAAAAACTATCTTTAGTGTTAACTGTATGAAAACTACAGAGCCTGTACAGCAGCCAGGATTCAACATAATTCATTCAAAGTTATAGTATAAAGAATTTAAGTGGGTAAAGTTCAAATCTAAAACAACCCAGGGTCACACCCACAGCGTCAAACAAGTAAAGTCCACAAGGGCAACTTGTTCATAAACCTGTCACTCCTGGCACACGTTTGTTTTTCAAATAATGCAGCATGTGGACTGGTCACATGTTGTGTGTGTCTGTGTCTGTGTCTGTGTGTGTGTGTGTGTGTGTGTGTGTGTGTGTGTGTGTGTGTGTGTGTGTGTGTGTGTGTGTGTGTGTGTGTGTGTGTGTTATTGATTGTATCTCTGCTAGCTGCCTTTAGGTCATCACTTTCAGAAAACTTAACTGGTTAAGCTTATCATGTAGAGGTAATTTAAGAAAATAATTAATCAACCCTGAACAGGACTGTGTGTGTGTGTGTGTGTGTGTGCTGTGTGTGTGTGTGTGTGTTATGATTGTATCCTCTGCTAGCTGGCCTTTAAGTCATCACTTTCAGAAAACTTAACTGGTTAAGCCTTATCATGTTAGAGGTGAATTTAAGAAAATAATTAATCAACCCTGAACAGGAGGGGGGGGCTCCTTTGTGTCCTTGTCCGCTGGAAGACAAGGTTACTGAAGTTGTTTATGAGCTGCTGAGGCTGAGCTTCAACATTAGCTCCCAACAGGACATAAAGTGAGAGGTGCTGAGCCTCATGAAGTCTCCCTGACACTGAATGACTGTGAATGAATGTTAAAAAGAAGTGCACACTATGAAACTGGGTCAGTGTGTAGAGTTTCACCCAGACCAAATAAAACCATTCATCCTGTCTGATGCCTTTGTTTCATTCCTGAAAGCAGACAACGAGACTCTTCCCATGAGGGTATGGTGGGTGCTAGTTAGAGCCAAAACATGCTGTTTCTTCAGCACATGCTCCAGCGCGGGTCATATAGTAGCATATGTGGGTGTGAGAGCATTTCTCTGCTAGGTGCCTATCATGGCTATCAGTGTTGGGCAGCTGTTTGGGTGAGGCCTGGGAGGGGGGAGGTTAGCTTTTAATTTAAACACTTGATAGTAAAACAATGTCATTCAAAAAACTAGGGATGGGTGTCTGGATACAGTAAGACAATAACAAGTGTTGTCTCATCTTGTTTTTCCAGTAGCCTACAGGCAGTTCCTTACCGTTGTAGACAAATGTAACGTTTTCCTCGTGCGCAGGTGTGAATCTCTCTTCCTGCTGGTTGTCTGCAGGCAGAGCCAGAGCAGGCTGATGGTACTTCTTACCATTTGGCCGGTTGAAAACTATCTTTGGGGCAGGAAGGCTGTCAGGTAGGAGAAGAAAGACAATATGTCAGAATGTAGTCTGATACTTTTGCTGTGCAAATGCTGCATCAGCACTAGACAACATTTCTAAAGTGTCAGCCTTTTGGCCTGAAATCAAAAATGGTTGGTTGAGTGAGAGTCAGAGATTGCAACAGCTGAATCAAGGACCATGTGCGACCTTGACTTGCCACAAGGTCACACACAGACACACACACACACACACACCCCCCACACACACACACACACAATGGGTAGTTTTAAAGGCGTGAAAACAGCATGCAGACTGAGCCTTTGGGAAGCTACAGTGTGAAGGTGTGTGTTATAAATCATTCAGGCTGAAGATGAGACGCTGCTCGTCTCATGTTGATGACGTTTACTGCTGCCAGGACACAGTCATTCAATGATAGTACTTTAACCAAAACAATAAATCTTCTTAATAAACCATATATTTCAGATGTTCAAACGGGACCTATAAAAACAGCACTAGTAGCAGCATTATGGTGCGTTTTCACTATACACTTACTCAGGCATGCCCCAGGACGTTTGTTTGTGCTTGAAGTCGTTTATTTTGGTGTCAACCGGCTGCGTAGGTCCTGGAAATAAAAGTTTACATTTTATTTGAAATGGAAATACAATTGAATACAAGGGAAATGTGTGCAAGTTACAGTCCAGTGTCTTACCTGTCCGTCGCTGTGTGGCCAGTTTGCTGGGACCCCTTGTAATTGTGTACATCCTGCGCAGGAAAAGTCGCCTGTACGCTTTGAGTTTGGCACTTTGGAGAAAGAGTCCAGGAGGAGCAGGCGAGGAAAGACACTTTTCTTTCCACCAGGATCTGTCGATGTATAACAACTATGTTTGGGGGACCAAGTCGCTCCCCTGCTCAGCTGATCCGGGTAAATTCCTCTCACAAGATTTAAAGACAACAAATCCAGGCAGGAGAAATCTGACATGAGACTTCGCAGGAGGTTTTGTAATAACCACGCAGAATACACAACCTTGCGCCGTGCTCCTCTACCAGTATGTCCAGCAGCCGGGGTGCATTTCATCCAGCGACCCTCCCCTTCACACCTGCCTTCCCCCAGGCCGGACAATAAAACGTAACTCACTTTAATGCTGAAGTGTACTGCACTGCCACAATGTCACATAAGCTGAAACGGCGGCTGTCATTCATAAGACATTGACCCGTGCCGTAAGAGCGCACCACTTCTCTCTACGTCCTTACACGCCTCCCTCCGCGTTTTAAAGAGACAGTGTCCCCAAAATGGATGAAAGAAATATGTAACACTGACTTGAGACCAGTATGTTCAGCCCTTTGTGACTTATTTTAGCTCGTGGTAATGGTTATTAAAATGAGATCACTTGTATTAATCCCATGATGTTGGAATTTTTGTTATCTCTGATTCGCAAATTGCTTATTTTTTAACATGTTTAGTTGTGTCTGCTGTTTTGTTTAATTGTGCAAGCAATTACATTCTCAATCTCAAATATGACTTTACTAACTCTTATGTTGTGTTTTTTTGTGTTGTAGTCTTGTATAATGAGGAGGGGGATTATTAGTTATTTCACCTGATCAGAGTAAATTGCTTTTGTTTGCCTAAAAATATAGGGAAATCTAACACCAGGGCAGGGTTCTTTCTATGATGATGACCATCCTGGCCAAAGTTACAGAGGGGGTGCCAAATCTGGCAGCCATGACACTAGCTCTGCCAGATTTAGAAAGCCCCCTTTAACTGCTCCTTCATGTAGCCCCCATCTGCCCAACGTCTCTGTGTTTACAGTACACACAGGTGAAGCCAAGTGCAACCACATACAGCACACTCAACCATGTTTACAATGCAACCAAGCTTTACTATATACTGACTGAATTCATGGAAAGCTAAACTATGGGTTAACAAAGACGCACAGCTGGCCATTAACAGAAATTACATAAAAGTCTCACAAAATGACACATTTAAAACATTAAATAATTTAGTATTTAATAAGGCATTGTTGATTTACATTGTGAAGCTTTATTCAAGTTTCAAGCCTATGAAGATCTTTTTACAATATGACATTCTTTACACTGCAGGAAATAAAAGGCAGAGGAAAGTTTTTTTTTTTTTTAAACCTCTATGAAATGAATTTTCAAACACAAATATATAACAACATTACATATTTATTGCAACTAGGTCAGTTTCGGGCACAACTGTTATTCATAGTAAACATTTCTCAATGAATAGCAAAAAGTGTTCCTTCTCTGATGATTCATAATGAGAGTCTTAAAGACGTAACATCACACAAATAATGTTGGAGTTCATGTTAAATAATCTTTGCCTTGACATCTATACTCGCAGAATATAAGGATTCAGGTTCTAAACAATCAAGTATCATCATTCTTTAATATTAACAATATATTCTAGAGTTCATTATTAAATAAATATCATGATAGCAAGCAATGATATGATACATTACCAATATGTCTACAACTATGTACACTGGTCTCTTTAAAGCCTCTGAAAGATCAGCCCAGAATGGAACAAATATCTTTAAGGTTGTCTAATCCAAATCCCTGGTCCAGGAGAGCTAGTGGTATTGCTGCTGGTAGTAGGATATAGACAAGGTAGTATACAGCTGAGTTTGATTGTTTTGATGTGTCTGTAGATTTAAAAAGGGAAACTACCTGTATACCAGCTACAGTTAATAACATTTTCTTACCTCTACAGTAAATCTTATTTTTGGGTGGTTTGATTGCCACCATAAAGTTAGGTAGCACCAATTTTCTAGCTTGTAATTATCTTCACTTAGAGTATTTAAGTATGTTTTGTTCTTACAAAGGAGAAGGAAATGGTAAATGTTATTCTTTTGGCAATCATGAAGTTATTTGGGTCACTACGGCATTTCCAACTTCTTAGTTCATTAAGAAGATGTGGAAAGTGGAAAACACTTAATCATCCCTGTGTGTGTGTGTGTGTGTGTGTGTGTGTGTGTGTGTGTGTATGTGTATGTGTATGTGTATGTGTATGTGTGTGTGTTGTGTGTGTGTGTGTGTGTGTGTGTGTGTGTGTGTGTGTGTGTGTGTGTGTGTGTGTGTTTATCAGTATTGAGGATCAAAGTCTTCCAGCAGACTGTCGGTCAGGTATCCAATCTTCAGCATGTTTTGGTAGAAGTCTTTCTCCACAGCGGTGTTGACCGTCCAGCCCACCACCTCCACACCTCGCTCTGCCCAGTACTGAACGTAGTCCCTAAGAGAAAGAAGAAAGAGGAAACAAAAATACATATCAGTAAATACAAGGAACATTCCATAACCAGTAAAACAAAGTTGCATGTACTGTTAAGTGATCCTTTAAACAAGGCAGTGTCCTCTCATGACTTGGGATGACTTGATCATATCAACACCCAGTTTTTAATCAAACTCTTATCACATCAGCACAACCTTGAATCTCTATTTGAATGTTTTTCTGTTGCCATTTTATTATTTGCAAGTGACTAAAGGCTACAAGATGTTAATCACCTTTTGTTGGCAGAGAAGACTTTAATCATCTTGTGACCCATCAGATTGATGTTGGGAGCCCTTGCTGTGGTGGCTATTATAGTTTTAGCAGTGTTTTATATGTTGCTGTTTTGATTTATAATTTCCTATATGCCTAGGCGGACACCCAGCCATTGATTATGTCTGATTTTATAACAAAGCATTATAGACAGGAACATATTATAAAAAGATTCTTCTTAACATCCTGTAGGATTATCTTAAACCCCATGACTTGCTTCGTGACTGTGCCTTGTAACTATATAATTAAATAACATTTGACCTACAGTGAGATGTAGTCCTTCTGCATGAGGATGGCAGAGACACCGCAGAGTTTCCACAGTATGTGGTGGTGGGCCCAGTCCAACAAGATGTCCAGAACCCCCGTCCACACCTGACCCGAGATGGACAGGGACCGGGGGGCGCCGTCGGTAAAGCGGCTCAGTCTCCAAGGGCGGTGGATGAGAGCTGTGACCACGTTGGGGTCCGTCTGACGCATCTATGGGTAAAAAAAGTGTAAAAGTCAACACAATACAGTCAAAATGAGGAGGAGGGTGTGGCTCTTTTGGTACTTTTATTAAAATATGTGTGATGGTTCAGTTTAAAGCAGCAACAAACCAGAAAGCCATCTTTGGTGCCATTAATAGAAAATAAAATAGGAGTAATAATGTAAAGAAATAAAGTCAGTAAAAGAAAATGACAAAAAAGGACAATAATTATTCAAATACCTCAGGCAAATCAATAATCATTAAAACAGCTTTCTAAAGTCAATTTTAATTATTTGTGTTGATTATGTGTTACCTTGTAGATTACTTTTGGTTCAAAGGAAGAAACAATGCTGCTATTGTAAAGGGCAGGAAACTTCTTATACATCTCATGAAGCACTGACGCAGCCTGGAAAACAGGAAAACACATCACATTTCTACAAGCAGGAAAAAAAGGCATAAGTTGGTTCAGTTAAAGATAACTGAAATGAGGGCCTCTTAAAAGGATCAGCACGAAGGTAAATTAAAAGCAATCTGATTGGCCCTCTTTGCTGATTTCGGTTTAGTCAGCTATCGAGTAGGTCTATAAGCTATTATGAGCCACTCTATTGGTATAAATATATCCATATACTCAAGTCTTATATAATATTCACTACCTTATCAGGTTGACCTTTGACATTGAAGAAGATGGTGAGCTGTTGTCTGATGGATTCCTCCACTGCCTCCTGCAGAGTTGGGACCTTCTCTCCACTGTATTTGTCTCTGGAGAGGAAAGAAATCATGACAGGTTCTTAATTCAAAAGTGAGGTAAAGTTTCAGTGTATTACGCTTTCATGTTTTAAGTCTGTTTATTTTGCCCCTTTTTTTAGTCTTTACATTTTATGAGGAAAGACACTTTCTGAGAGGAAATAGATCACTCATAAAAACTATATTTCTGCAACTCAAACTTTATAGTATGAATGTAATACATAAAGTATGTAATCCCTGTGCATGTAGTCCTTCTTTATCTAAGATTTAAATCACACCATTAACAAATGATATAATGCAGCATACCTCAGCCTGTGACGAACAGCAGCATCTAGTCTCTTAAGCTGGGCCAGCTGCAGTTTGCTAACTGGTCCAGAGCCGTTGGTGGTGCGGTCCACCGTCTCATCGTGCATGAGGACGGGCACCCCCTCTGCCGTGAAGCTCAGGTCCAGCTCCACGCCAGTGGCCCCGTTCCTACTGGCCTAAAGCAGGACAATACCAGGTGGAAAATTACACAAAAAGACAGCTTTGATAGTGTAAATTATTGTAGTTTAAGTGCTTATTTTTTAAATTAATATTTTTGTGAAAATTCAGCAGTTTTTAATTGAGTGAAGACTTAATTATTCTTGAAAGCTTTCATCTTATGTGACCGCATGACTCCAAATCAATGCTCTGAATCGTAGCTTTTGTAAAGATTTGAGACTCTTCGATAAAGCAGTAGGCTACAATACATACAGTATTCAAAGAAAAATATAACTAAACACTAAAATCATATCAAAAGAAAAGCCTCATACTTGTCCATTGTGGTAATATAAATATGCATTTAATTGGTCTTGTTTGGTCACAAGACATGAAAGCTATATATATTTAGCCATGCCTGTCACTAATATTCAGGAGTCAGCAGGTAGTGGAAATAACATTGGTTTTGTGTAATTCAAAAGGTGATTTACTGAGTATCTCTAAGTGATGCCCTGTAATTAAGAGTGAAGGCTCGGATATGAGGTAACCATCCTCTGCCTGTATAGACAATATCACATATCAAACTTCACTGCGGTGCATGCAGGACAGTAAAGAGCACAACAAGCAAGCCGACTCAGCAACTTCAGTATGTAACAAACATGGAGAAATAATTGTGTGTAGAAATAAAAAGAGTGTGAGTGAATGGCATTAACAAATGTTCAAGGGTAAGCTACTGATCTGATAGAAACTGAACCAGCAGCAGATGTGGTGCTCTGCTTACAATGCTTCAAGCCAACTCACGACATTCAAAGCCTGAGCAGTCCATACATAAATCGTTCAAATGGAATTGACTATATTATTTCGGGGACTGTAATACTATATTGCTACATCTAATTGGACTAGCTATTATGCAATTCTGTGTTATTATATATTTGTAGCCATCATTTATCTAGCCTAGTATGCTACTTTTGCTCTGTTAAACATGCATAGATCTATGTTTCCAGCTAAACACATGACAGATGCATGAGACCTCTCTGATCGCCGCCAAGGTGTTCTCCGGAGCATCATGGCTGCCCCCGCGGTGCGCCACCACCAAGACCCCGCCTGATGGAGCCCCGGGCCGGAGGACACGGCCGGCCTGGTCCGCCGGCACCGGAGGAAACCGGAACATCACCATGAAGACGTAGAGGAAAGCGGTGATGAGAGAGGCCCCCGTGGCGCTCCGCGTGCCCAACACCACGAGCAGAAACAACGCCGAGAAATACACCACCTCATCCCCGATCTGCAGCATCTTAAACGGTATTATGTCACGAACCGTACGTTGGAAGACCCGTCGTTTCAAGCCGTTGTTCTGCCGGTAGCACTCACATGGTGCAGGCAAGCAGATCACACAGGCACGCACACACACGCACGCGCACAGACACACACATTTCACTTATTGATGGTGCAGAGGATGTATGGGACATGGGAGGAAGGAGGAGAGGGTGGCAAGTCTATCTGAAGTTTGAAAAATAAAATATAGATACAAACATATTTAGGTCAGAGCATTCCAAATAAAAATGGAACTAGCCCATTGCCATGTGATGCAACTAATAAAAGGTGAAGTGACTTTACGAGAACTATGTAAAAATACTGGTTTTCACAATGTCTACAGGACCTAAAACCATTATTATTTTTAGATAGTTTTAAAAGATATTGACATACTATTTAAGAATATCATTTCATTTATTTATTTTAAAGACAACAATCACAACTTGCTGAGAGTTTGGGTTCAGGAAGGCACAAAGAAGACTCATCAGTACATTAATAACACATTTAAACACACTGGGTTTGTCTTCCTTAAAACTGTACATAGGAACAGACTCAAGAAGAAGAAGAATGAAAGCAAAACAACTCTTCTTTAACAAATTGAGAAGGAGACATTCTGAATTAAAAGAGGAACCAGAGATCACCTACTCACCCCATGAGGAATGATACATTTAAGGCCAATACACATCAGGTAATGTTAAGGGTATCAAGTCTTTAAGAAAAAAATGCACCATCATATTATTTCCAGCATGTTGTTATAGGTTCATAAATGGTTCAAAATGTGAGGAGAACATTTTTTTTTGAAGTAAGGCACATTAATCTGCTCCTGCCCCTGCTGGCAGAGAGCTGATGTGCTGGAGCAGCTGGTCGCAGTAGAGAGGACTCCGCTGTTTGTCTCTCACCGCCTCCGCCTCCCTTTGCAGAAGTGACGGATGGACTGAGCTACCTTTCTTCAGGATCTCTGGACAAACAAACAGAAACAAAACCAAACACAAAAAGGACAGGAGTTAAAAAATGTTTACACAAACAAAGGAATACTCATTATTCTGTAACATGATCTTCAATTGAAAATCCTTTAAGCCTAATTCTTCATGGGAGAGTTAGTTTACAACCAACGATGGGGATCTCCGGTGAATGAAAGGGCTTGATGGTCATATCCTGACTCCATGTCCTGTTTTTACTTCTTCCATGTTGGTATTGACCATCAATGAGGTACATTTATCTCCTTAAAACAGGGGCGGAAGAGTTTATATAACATTTTAATGCACTTATTCAAATTCAGGCACAATAAAATCATGTTTACTTTGAATGTTAAATTAAGTTTTTTCGTTTTAACCTGGTACAAGTAAATGTCTTAACTTGATATTATTAGTAAAAAAGTTTTAAAAAAAAGGTGTCAGTGCACCAGCAGATGGCAGTAATGAACTACAGTACACAAGTCACACAATGCAGATGCACTTTCCTTCCACTTGAAGGCAATAATCATCTGTTCAAAAATGTTCCTCCGGCTGTTCCCACACCTTCTGCTGATTTTCTCGAGTATATTGAATTACGTGAACGCTGTCAAGAGGTAAATGCTTCCGAAACCACAATGCAGAAGTGCTGTCCCAGTGGTGACATGCCGCCACTCAGGATGACTTAGCTCATGTAAACTCATCATCTGATACCCGCCTCTGTTCTTCAAGGCGATGGAGGGGATTTTAGCTTTTGTGTATACTGTACTCAGAGGGGATAGAGGTGGGGTGGCGGGACTTTGAATACGAGGAGAACAATGAGGACTTGTGAGAAGTGAGTTATACCCGTGCCAACTGTGTCTGTGTGACTGAGCAGGTAGCAGCCGGGCTGCCAGGATGGTGGGATTATCAGGGTGGAGAGTGAGAGAAGGAGGGAGGAGATGTCAGGACATGCTGCACACATCAAGCCACTTTACAGATATGCGTTTGAAATTCAAGAAGCGTTAGAATAGGATCAACTATTAAGAGGAACAAAGACACAGAGAGGGGGGGGAGGAACAAAAAAATCTTCAAACAGAGCCATGCATGAGAGTGAGGAATGCTTCCATATTTGCGGCACAGGCGGTTAAGGGTGCTGTCAGATGCACACGATCACTCAGCAAGATGTGAGGTCATCTTATTTCACAAAGAGACTCTGAGCTGTCAGCAGCCGGTACAATGGCTCAGATATCTTTTCACTGTTAGGGCTTGATGTGCTGAAACACTTCCAGAGGCTGCTGAAGTATTCTGCCCCGAGTGGTTTTTTAAAAGAAAATCCTGAAAAAGCACCTGAACATTACGGAAAATCACTCGGTACAAGAAATACACAGCCTTTGTCTGTGGGCGAAGGCGTCTCATAAAGTTGATCTACTATGTGTTTTTCTACCAACAGTAGTCAAAGTAACCGTCATTTTGATAACCAATGGCTATAAAAAAGATTCCTTAAAAATGCTTTCAAAGCGGTTTTGCGGGGCCAGAGTCCGTAGCTGCAGCTGGTAAATGTGTGTGAATGATTTCTCCTCACTTTTTTTTTTTCTTTCCCTCTATCACTAGCCATATGAAGATGAGAGACCCTGTAGAGAGGCCTCTTTGGACTGGCTAAGGCATCAGTGTCACCTGCACTGTGTCAGAAGTAATGACAGCTAACATCCATGAGAGAGGGAGAGAGTGGAAGTCCAGAGGAGCTGAGCACCGGTTACACACTTCCGAAAAAGCCAATAAGACTTTCCATTGATTCCTCAATAAAAACACAGCTACGGGTCTGTCTGAAAACACTGGGAATGAGATCAACAAGTTCGAAGTATGGATAAAAGACAAAGGGATTGAGCAGGATGGGCGTGAGGAAAGATTTGGAAAGGCGGCGAGGGGAAGGGGGATCCCCATGTGGTTTCCATTAGGCGGGACTGTTCTGTGTTTAAAGGAGACTCTGGTAGGGGAGGCAGAGGTTTGCCACACACACATCTGAGTCTACACCAGGTGAACTGGCAAAGGAGTTAATAATATATCAGAGCTCACATATTAACCTGTGAAGTGTCTCCTTTATATACTTTATACAAGAAGTCGACATGATGTCACCTATAGGTTTGTATACTACTGTTTTGAAGTCTTAAGTTTGGCCTTCTTGACTTGAAACTGGATATTGAGACCATAAACCTACAGAAAATATTTTCACGGAGGTAATAAATCAGCTGAGAAGTAGGGCCATTTTTCTCAAACTTCTATGCAACTGGACTTCTTCATACGGGAGTTGCCATGTTAGCTATTTGAAAAAAAATGCAGATTGAAGGCACTTGTTTTTTCACTTTTCCGACCTGTAGGTGATGTCCAATCCGTGTATGTATCCGTCTATGGTGTCTCTGAGGTGGGTGCTAATCCTAATCTGGATCTTGTGTTTCACGTTTGAGGCCAACCTCCTGCTTGTAAGGGCTTGCTTTGGAAAGAAGAATTGCTGAAGCTGCTTTGGTGATAAATGGTGTAGAAAGCAAGGATAACAGTGCTCTTTTGAAATAAAGTACAGGGGGGGATCTGCTGGCAGCGAGCCAGGCAATCATCTAGTGTTTGATAGAGGATACCCCTTATTCCTCTCATCATCTGTGAGCCTCTTGGAAACAGCAGGCTGGTCTGCGGATCATCATGGCTAAGGCTTTCATGGTGACCTCACCTTCACAATTATGACTGTCTGTACTTCCTGCAACGCTTATCAGATGATCACGGTCATAATCGTTTCAAGTCATTTACAGTATATTCACATGAGTTTGTTATCTTGACAATCTCTCCTTATTCTTATCAGCATTGGTATCAAGGATTGTCAACAGCGCATTAAAGGACAAAAGAAAAAGAGCTGGCTTTCTTTGTCATGAGTCATGGTTGTCATCAACATGTTTGAAATCATAAAGAGTAGAAGGAGAATCTGTGGTACTCCCACAGAGAGAAAATATGGAAAAAGGAACGTTTGTGTCCACTTTTAAAAAGACCCACACTCTTATCTCTCATGTGTATAATCTTCTGTTAGGCTACCATCATGCCCAACACTCCACCCTCATATCTGAGGTTGCAGGATTAAAACACCCCTCCCAGTCTCACCGAGCACTTGGCCCTGCACCGAGTCGTCGGGGTCGTCGAGGTACAGGAGGAGCTGCTGGAAGAGGAGCTGCAGATGAGCAGCATAGAGCTCGGGGGGGTAGTCTTTGGTCAGGCTGGAGAGCCACAGCCCGAGGGCCTGCAGGGCCACGCTGCGCACCTCCTCACTGCTGTCGTCCAGACGCTTCAGCAGCACTGTGGGAAAACACCACCACACAACAAAACGTCTCAAAAACTTTCGTCTATTAAAGGTTCCCTATTATCCTGTTTTTCATCAATATATTATAGGTCTCAGTTATATAAAAAACATGTCTCTGAAGTGTTTGGATCCAAACACCAAACAGATCATTGCAGCATCCCATAAACCCCTCTGTTTCAGCCCTATTTCAAAAGTGCTGATTCTGGGAATGTTACTTTAGATGAAAAATAAGGAGCCACTCCCAACACAGCGGAGACACATGTTTATGTATAAAAGACATGAAAAAGTGGATTTTGCATAATAGGCGACCTTTAAGTGGGTAAATTGCTTTAGTTCTAACGTCATTATAACCATTGTTATAATATTATACATATGTACATTAATTGTGATGTAATCTACAGCATTTTTTGCAAAGTGTAAATGTCAGTGTTAAGTGTGTTCTGCACCCACCGGGGTAGATCTTGTTGAGGGCCTCAGGGTGCAGACTGGCTCCTATAAGTCGGAGTATGGTGGAAAGGGAGCGACAGGCCAGCAGCCGGGCCATCTGAGAGTCCTCCTCCAGGGCCGACAACACCTGGGGACTCACCTTCTCCTCCAGACACAGCAGCTGCACACAGGAAAGGCCCAGACCAGCATACAGATCAATAATGGCAAGCTCAAAGTACAAATAATACAATTATATTATATGTATGAAATTAATTCAACAGTTAAAAAGGTGTTTTTGTGCAAAGTTTGTTATTGTGAAGATTTCCCTAATGGTAAATGGAAACTGACTGGAGTGATTGCTTTGAGACATTTTGGTCAGGACTACTTCCTTTGAGTTCCAAAACCCTCTCAAATGTTTCTTCTTTCCAGTTCTTTGCACCCCTCAGTTGTCAACAATGAGAAGTAGCAAAGACAAGGCTAGTTAGTGAAAGCAAAAAAACATCCTTCGGAAAGATTAACAGTTTCCACACACTTATTTTTATTATTCCTTTTTGGATTTATGGGAATTTTGGTTCCAAAGTGAAATATCACTCAAAGATGACAGATCAGCTCTGAATCAGTTTATAAAGACACACGGGCATGGAGCCCATCATCAGATGTCGAGTGCAGACCGATGTTTTCATCACACCAACAGATGAGAAGCAGAGGAAATGGACAAACAAGGTGAAATGACTGCTAGCTAATGGCAAAACCCTCTGTCATCCTGCCTGTTTGCTATCGAAACCACGCAAAACAGTAAAAAAGGGATTGAGGGGAGAGGGAAAGAATGAGACAGAAACAGGAGGAACATTTGGCAGAGGAGTTATCCGGCATTACATCAGTGATGAGGGTGCCAAGTGTAACTGGAGCTACTAATTGTTATCACAGGGAGTAGTGAGCAAACACTGTCCTTCTAAATGAAAAAGCTGTTTGACTTCCTGTGGAAATACACACATGCTGATGATTATGTCACCTCTGCTTTAACCACATTTTGAACCCCAACTCGGAGAGGAACACAGCCCTGTCACCCCTTTTCCAGATGTTCTATTCTTATGAAGACGTTCGGGTGCCATTAGATGGTACAAACGTGATCGCACACCCAAACACCTGCTCATGTTGTCCCCCAGCTATTTGCTTAACCTTGTAGTTAAAGACGTGTGAAAAGAAGCGGAGTGTGAGCCGGTGATAACTGGTCATTCAGCCAGATGTGCGTGTGCTAGCTCACATACTGGAACTGGGCACATGCTCCGGCAGGCAGGTGCAAGAGCATATCTCGGTGATAGTTTCTACGAACAACCGGAGCCCAGAACAGTGGAAGCATTGTTCCTGGGGGACAAAGGTATGTGAACCTGCTAGCCCCCGCGTACACCTGCTACCTGCCGCGGCCAACTCCTTCAGCCAAGGAGAGAAAGATGGCTGACGATATACTTTCCCAAATGGCCAAGTGGGACCATCTATTTTCATGTGAAATGGACAAAACAGAGAATTTGAAGTAAATGTCAACTCCCTGTGGGTTAAAAGAATGCCTTTCCAGCTGGGTCAATGAAAGTGTTTCTGCAGATTGGAGATCAGTAGTGCGTTTTTTTTTCTGGAGACCTTTCGTATACTGTGTTAGCTTTCAATGCTCATGGGTCCCTTTGCATTGCACAGGTGGAAACAAATGTAACCCCTGTGTGTCATGTTTAGATTTGCACACGTCCTCTGTGTGTGTACCTGTCCAGGTGCGATGGCCCCTCCATGCAGCAGGGCCAGCAGACAGCTGAGGGCAGAGGTGCGGACGGCAGCTGCAGAACGGCCTGCCCGCCACACCAGGTTAGGAAGCAAGACGTCACACAGGAACTTCTCTGCCTCGTCACGGAAATGCCTGGGAAGAGGGCAGAGAGTAAAGTATGGAGACAGAACATCGCAGAGGAAGACGTTTCCATTCCTGTGTGTATTTCATATGGAGGTACAGTATATTAGCATTTCTATATTTTTTAACAGCTAGCAAACAATGCTGCCCATTTTGAGGACACGCTAACGATAATAGCTGTTGGGAATGCTACTACAACAAAAAGGGCTATACCAAGCTCATGTTCCCACACTTGATGTACAGCAGAAGGATGAGCGGGGGGGGGCAGGAGGAGAAGCAGGAGGCGAGGAGTGCAACATCTGGGTGTCTGCCTTTCCCTTCTCTCTGTTTTCCATGCTGGCTTAAGCACTCTGACATTCTCTCACACACTAGCAGACTGGCCTTTTGCTCCAAACCAACTCTTGTAGATGCCTCTCGCCTCTGGCTGTTCAGCTGGTGTCACGACTAACTTCTCATGACATTGAATGAAATGTGCTGTATTGCTTCAGTGCCAGTAGAGGGAGACAGCGTGCCACTAACGCATCCAGGACCAAGGACCATGCACTGCTAGCTCAGTTTTTTCATTTTGACAGGTGATGAAAGCTCATCACGAAGGAGGCCGGGAGATGGAAAGACATTTTTTCCACAAAGGAGGGATGATGTGCAAAGGAAAAAAAGACACTTGTCTGTCTATGCATACACGCAGTTTAATACGTTTATGTTTGACACAGTATTTCATTTAGTAACATTTGTTAGGCAACACTGGAATGCAGTTCATTACTCTGAACATCAGCTTGATTATTTCATTGATGATTATCCACACATTAGCATTATACTTATTTTATTACCATTGTGATTATATTTTATACTACAGGGTCTAGCTTTTAAGGCCTTATAAAAGAATAGTGGTAATCTCATTTGATTTAAGTTATAAATAATTTACAGAACTAGCAGTTTTCTTGTTTTATGTCTTGAAAGCTGAAATTAAGACTAAAGACGGGTGCCTGATGCAGTTCACACGTGCATGAAAGCACACGCTCTATTATTTTTGCCCACCACATCTTAGGGAAAGAGGATGAACTGTCATTTCTTACACCTTCTACTTACATTTCACATCCAGCTTTTTAATCACAGCACACAAATCCACATAAAACAAAGACATTATGTGTGTGTGTGTGTGTGTGTGTGTGTGTGTGTGTGTGTGTGTGTGTGTGTGTGTGTGTGTGTGTGTGTGTATGAAAGGCACACACTTTCCCTTTCTGCTTGTTATATATTGGAACTGTCATTATGACATTTTGGTTGTAGAACAAAGAGAAGAGGTTTTCTCTATAACTATCACTGTCGTCTTGATGACATATAGTGTGTGTGTGTGTGTGTGCGCCATAAATCATGAATGGAGGGATAAGAGGAGTATGAATGGAAATATTATGGCAGACCGCACAGCCCCACATACTGTCAGTTAAGCATTTGTTTGAAACCTTTTGAAGGTGTAACATGATTTCTGTCTGCTGATGGTCCTGTGAGCACCGGAGATATATCTGAGGAACGAGAGAAGCAGTTAGCAGCACAGGTGGGCGCACTGAGAGTGAGGAAGAGACAGAGGCTCCTTTTGTCTAACGGTCACATTTATGGATAAAATAACCTGATGAAAGCTGAACAAAGTTCCAATTTCCACGTTTTTGGCAAAGGTGGCAAAATGTTCTGTTTATGCAACATTTTTCGCTGACAGGTTATTATTTTGTCTTATATTCTTTACACTGCCGCCAGACTCATGCCAACATCTATCCCTTACATTCACCGTTGGAAACACCTACGAGTCCTTACAGACCCCTTGGCTGAAGGCTAAGCGTTAGTTACACACTGCACAGATGTCTCCATGGAAACAAAATGGACAAGGTTTGTCTTTCTGATGGACAGCAGCAGCTGGAAAGGGCCTCAGGCTTAATGCATTCCCTCAGATTAGAGCTCTGAGTCCAGCCTGAAAGCTGCACAGCTGAGGGATCGAAGGACCCTGAACGGTGAGGGGGGGGGCGCAGTCAGAAAGACCCCAAAGACGGGAGCTCCTCTCTGGGTGTCAGACTTCACGCCTATCCTTTGTCATTAATTAGCCAATAAACATTTAAAGATGTTACTAAATCACCAAGGAACAATTCAGACATAAATTGCCTTTGGTATGATTCAAGTATGCTGGAAAGAAAAAAACCATATTTTGAGTTACTGTAACCAATACTCCCAGATGAACCATGTTAACTCAAATGGGACTTCATACATTTAGTGAGTTCATCTATCTTATGACCCTGAATCAACCACCAGTCCTAAAGAAGGTGAGAGTAACAATGACCTCAGGCTCTGATTATGGTTACTTGTGGCTGAGGTGCTAACTTGCAGGTTAATGTGAGGTCAGTTCTAAAAATATGACTTATAACGATGACTTGGAAAACTGGAGACTAGTAAAACCCAAACAAATTAAGCCCAATGTGACCTCAAGTGATGACTAACTAGGACAAGTCAGCTGCTGTGTGTGTGAGACTTTGTTTAAGATCATTTGCTCTGTGTGTATGTGCACCACTCACCCCTGGGAATCCAGTGTGTTTGTTGCATCTAGTAGCAACTTAGCAAGCATTGTGAAGATGGTCATCCTCATCTCTATGTCTCTGTCTGGTTGAAGGCAGCAGCACAGCAGAGGCATCAACTGGCTCACAAACTCCCCAATCACTGGACCTATAACAGACAAACAGTTGTATGTTACTACTATGGCAAAAGATTGGTTTGGCATTGTTTGCCATTATTGTAAAGTTTACAGTATAGAAACAGAATTAAAATATGGAACCATTGAGTCACTGAAACGCCAACTCTAGCAGTGTTTGGACCTTCTTTGTTTAGACAGAATTCATACAGTAACTCCTTATTTCAGGATAACCATTTCATTCTTATTACACACTAAATACGTTCCTTTCCTGAGCAAAGACTCTATATTGTATGCCTTTCCTTAATTCTTCGTCATCCAGACCAACTATATTGCTAAACAATAAAAAGCTTGAAGGGACAAAAGACTGTTTTTATGTTCATCACTGACCAGAGGGCTTCAGTTATTAAGAGATGGATGAGGAGACAGTGACACAGCGCTCGGAGGAAATGACACATAAAAAGGCCTTTGTGTGACAAAGTGTTTTCTATACAAGTGTATTTTACAGGAAAAACCTGAAACTCACTATGAAAGTATTCCCAGCTACACACACACACACACACACACACACACACACACACACACACACACACACACACACACACACACACACACACACACACACACACACACACACACACATATCTCGCACACACACACACACACACACACACACACACACACACACACACACACACACACACACATATATTTAGGCCAAGCTCATCCTGCAGACAACACTCCCCACTTGTGTTTCCCCTCAGTCTGCACTGTTTTCCTCCCCTCTTCACGAATCAGATAAAAGCATGCATGCTCAGTGGATGATGAAAGCATCCTCTAAATGTCACTTGCCCAATGTTTTTGTGTCGCATGCAGTTGAATTTAGACCCTTCAGTGCTGCGATACTGGGCTGTTAAACCAAATCATGTTGACACACAGAACATCACCCCAGATTACATTCCTCCATGTGGAAATGTCATATCTGTTTCAGTAGTGAATTATTCATCTGACCTCGGCTGCTTTACTGTCACTGTGTTCTACAAGTTGTTGAATGAATCAGCATCTGTAACGAGCATTTTTAGAATTCAGACATTATAGGTAAAAAGGTTTACTGGTCAATTTTTATAGGATTTGGCTGTTATGCTTCCATGACATGTCTCTTTTTAGACTAGTGGAAATAAAACATCTTAAGTGTTTATTTTTCTCTTTACGTCTGTAGAGTTATTCTACTTTCACCACAAGTTGGCACAAGATAATCCTCATACTCTGGTGAAACTTTGTTTCTTATTGTAAGTTATTAGCTGCTGATGTTCTGATGCTATTAGTTTAATTGAATTATCAAAAAAAAAGACTCATAACATGAGCAAAAATCTCTACTTCAGTTAAATATTTCAAACGTTTCCACTTTAATTATCTATATTGTTAAGTGTTGAACCTGTATTTATCCAATTTTAGGATTTATCTTCCTTAAATGTATGCAAATCAGTATTTCTCTTAATAAGAAAATAAATAGTTTTACTTTTTTCACCTGTAGTTTTGAACAGGATACTTTAAATGTCAGGTGTTCAAGTGGTATTCTTCATTCAGTTTGCTGCGTTTCCCTCCATACGTTTCTAAGAAAAAATGAAAGTCAATAAAAACCCAATTAAACTCTCCTACAAAAGAAAATAAATGATAAAACACATTTCCTGAAGCTACACTTGGAGCTGACATTAGGAGGGCCCACTGTGGGTTGTTGACAAGAAGAAATTCCCTCTTAATTATTAACCGTTTAACATCACAGCTCATAAAAGCTGTTACATGATCGATTTACTGGCACCGTTAATCTTAAGGATGATGATAATGTCATAATTAGTGCTGTAACATAATCAAGCATCTTGTCATCAATATAGGCCTACAGTAGTAAAGCTCATGTAGACACTGAATACCTATACATTCATTTGTTTTGACTGGTTCAAACTGCGCGGTGATATGAGCCTTGCAGTTATGTTCTGCACGTGGTGATAGATATCACTGCTTTTAATACAGTAAACTCATGCTACTCTGAAAACACAGCGACCGGGTGTTTACGAGCACTGTTTCACTCAAATCTCATCTGTATCCGTGAATTTGGAAGAACACTGCACAGGCGCTTCCATCTCTACGTTTCCGCATTTGTTCAGCTCTTTTCTTTTATTAAGCGTACGAGCTGGTTCCCAGTCGATCATGTTGACGGTAGTGTAGATTTCGATTGATTGCATCAGTCACTATGGGGCTATTCTGGAGCTGGTGACTCTGAGGTCTCCCTCTCCCTCTCTGCGACTCTCTGACAGAAGCTGTTGTTGAATGGAAGAGTGGCCTCTTTCAGTGTGGGTGTCCCCTCGGGGCCGACTGGGAGAGATAATCAGACAGGACAGTTACAGACAGACAGGCAGACAGACAGATGCACTGGACTCTTGTTGTTTCTCCTAAATCAGGCCAGAGCACATTTGGGAGAGTTTTAGATGAGTATTTTTTATTTTACACAAGTTATGGATTCACTTTTGTAACCATTGTTTTATTATTATCCCCTTATTTTTCCCTCAAAAACAATAAAGGGTTTAAATGCTGCTAACATTGTCTGTTAATCAGTGGAACACAGCAAGTCAACCTTTGCTATAATCTAAAGAGTAGGCCTAAAACATGTAATCCCCCTTTAGATTAGATTAAATGAGATTAGATGAGATTAAAATCATTTGTATTGGCTCCTGCATTACAAAGTCACAGGACAATAAATTAAATAGAGCTAAGCATTATGCTTAAATAACAAAAGTTTCAAAATATTACCCTTAACCTTATTCCTTACCCTATACGGCACACATACGGTTAGTTAGTGAGTTAGGTACATAAATTGCATACAAATCTTTCAAACCTTTTTTTCATACATTTCCCTCTGCCACTAAAGTCTCTCTTCCTATAACCCAACTTTAGTTTTTCATCATCCATCCACAAGAACTCATCAGAAAAAGATAAATTATTTTAATAAACACAATATCCGTTAAAGGGGCCCTATTCATTTTCAGGTTCACATTTGTATTTTGTGCCTCTACTGTGACATGTTTACACGTTTTAATGTTATAAAAGTTCTTTATTTTTGTCTTACTGCCTGTGGTGCAGCACCTCTTTTCACCCTCTGTCCGAAACCAGAGCACAGTCTGCTCTGATTGGTTAAGTGGCTGGCTCTGTTGTGGTCAGTCAACTGCATAGTGATGTCCCGCCAATTATCCAATCGCAATGTGTTGGATCGCTAGCCAATAGAAGCGCAAGTGTTACATAGCGAGGTCACTATGTCAAGGAAGTAAATAAAGGAGTCCAATCGAGGCGTTTCAGGCGGGGTTATTCAACATTAAATAACATTAAATAAAACAATTAATATAATTCATCTTCAATCACTTAAATAACATAAGATGCAAAGTATTTTCTCTTGAGGGATCCCAAAACATGTATTTTCCGTTGCTAATGTAGCATACTTTGTGTACCCAAAGATATTTGTAGTATGTTATTCCCCAACTTGCTTTAAAAATATATAATTTCTGATGTCACTATAATCAACAACTCAGTATTTTTCAGATTTCACTCCAAACAAACTTATCTCATATTGATAAAAAGTAGCAAACTCATGTTTCAAAAGACTACGTGATCATAACCGGCCTCATCTGTGGAAGTTTCGATCACAACAATTCTGAGTGCACCTGTGTGTGTACATGGGTGTGTGTGTATGGACTGGAGAGAGAGAGAGAGACGTAGAATTGAGGGCAGAGAGAGACAGACAGAAGAAGGGACAGACAGGTTTGTCCTGGCTTGGGTTGGGCAGGTCAGTGCAGCAGCAGCATTTGATTGTAAATAAGAGAGGAGTCAGTTCACACGCCGATCAAGTGACTGCCGGGAACAAGCGAGCCATTTGAATCAGGTGGCTATCTCCCTATCTGAGAGATCAGAGCCCTGTCACCCCCCCACCCCCCTCCTCCCTCTGCTCTCGTCATTGTGTGTTGCGCAGTAAAGGGACACACACACACACACACACACACACACACACACACGCACACTCACACACACACACACACACACA